TAAGTGTCATGGATTCAGTTCCTATTCATAGCAACCCTGTATGGACTTTCCAAGGAGCAGCTGGTGAGCTTGAACTGCAGACCTTGCAGTTTAAAACAACCTAGCAGTCCAGCGCATTAACCCACAGCATCATATCAGAACTCCAAATGAAGTGTTGCTGTTGTTAAGTGCCGTCGAGTCAGTTCTGACTCATAGCAACCCCGCACAGGGTTTTCTGAGGCTGTAAATCTTTCTGAGAGCAGAAAGCCTCATCTTTCTCCTGTAAAGAACAGCTGGTAGTTTCAAACTGCTGAACTTGAGGTTAGCAGCCCAATTCGTAACCACTACACTACCAGAGCTCTTTAAATGAAGCACTGTTGTTAAGTGCCACTGAGCTGGTTTTGACCCGATGGAGTCCAGTACATAAACCCACAGCACCACACCAGGACCACTTAAATGAAGCATTGTTATTGTTATGTGCTGTGGAGTCGGTTCCAACTCATAGTGACCCTGTACAGGGTTTCCGAGGCTGTAAATCTTTACGGGAACAGAAAGCCTCATCTTTCTCCCGCCGAACAGCTGGTAGTTTTGAACTGCTGACCCTGAGGTTAGCAGCCTGATTCGTAACCACTATGGTACCAGAGCTCCTTGAATGAAGCATAGGAGATACGTAATAGACACCAAAGCACTGGAATTCCTTGAGTATTTCAAATGTTCATAGGTTCACTGGGAACGGGGGTGGGATGTTGGAAATTAGGATTGTTTTAGAAAAATCTTGGACATATGGCTAATAGTAACAAAATTGACAGTAATAGGACTGACTTTATCCAGAGATAAAATTAGGGGGCTGTCTCCATTGGCAGTGTTGATGTCAAAATATCCATGCTGTGTTATTCTTCTGGAATGTACATTAAGATAACTGTACTTGTCACTCGTACAAATAAACTATTTCCATTCATTTAAATACTTTGGCTCAATTAATTGTTTATTTCCCTAAGAGAGCTGGAACATTTAATGATTAATCATTTTTTACTATAGGGAGGAGTATAAGAAACTGTCAGGATCACTCACAACTTTTGTCTGGCTGTGAACGTAACAGTGAAATCACTAGAGTCTGAGAGTGGCTGGGGCTACCAGAAGGGAGGAGAGAAATGATGGCTGATGACTAAACTGATGACTGCATGATCTCATTTAAGGTTGCTCCCAGTCCAAAGGAAGCAAAGAAATAGTCCTGCCACCCATATTTGTCATTGCACGTCATCTATGTCTTACAATTCTAAACAAAACCACAAGGTCCTGAATCATATAAATCTGGCCATAAATGTATTTATTATAGCAGTAATAAAGTACAATAAAAATCTGTCCTCTAAGGATGGTTGCATTTTTTATACATTTGAAATCACCATTACTTGGCCTTTTTTCCAAAAAAACCTCAAGGCATGAAATCCTCCAGAGCTGCCAGCGGCCATTTGCCATTGCTTTTTTTTTTTTTTAAACTTTGAAAAAGGACTTCAACCATAAAATTGGAATAGTTCACAACAGGAAAAAAATAATTTATTACAAGGAAGGAGTCTCAATAATTCCTCTTTTAATATTACTGATTCAGTGAGAGTAGATTCATTTATACAATGGAAGCTCAGAGAGCATTACTCTTTCTTCAAATATATAAACAGGAGGGGAAAACCTGACAAAAGTGAATTCCTGAGGCATCTATTATAAAAAGGATATATTTTCTTATTTAAGATATGAGAACTGTGAGCTGGAACTGTTTATGATTTGAAAATTGTCAGTTGTAACTATAGCAACAAGTATATCATAATTCCATGTCTAATTACATTCTTTCCTCTAGAAAGAAAATGGAAAGAAACATTTTAGTGATGAGGTCTGAACTATAAAATACAGGCAGGGAAATATGTCTGAATCTAGTGTGCAGTGCTGTGAAGTCTTCTTAACTATTCATTTATAGGGAAGGGCAGTTGTAATATCTACCTCTTCTTGATTTACAGACAAATGAGAGAACAAGTAAATTAGGGAAAAAATTTTTTCTAAGCTGTACATTTTTATTTTTAAAGTTACAGGAATTTAGCCAATCTTCTATAATGTAATTATAATTGACTACAGAATACAGGCAGTTTCTTGATTACAAATGAATTTCATTCCTAAATCTGTCTTTACGTCCAATTTATAAGTAAGCTGGAGAGTTAGGTACGGTTCATAATGTACATCAGTTAGTCAAAGGTTTGTCTAAGCATACCTTTTTGTCTAATATACCTTTTTTTTTTTTGTCTAATATACCTTTCTATGGTGATGGTTGGTGGTTATGTGCTGTGGAGTCAGAACCGACTCATAGTGACCCTGAATAGGGTTTCTATACATTAAAAAAAATAAGGAAACACTAAAATATCTAGACAATCTAATTTTAACATAATAATACAGAAATTATAATATTTTGATGGGTGCCACAAAGTAGTGTCTATTTGTTATTATGAACTATTGTATGTACCTCAAAGTTTAATATAATTTGTTTAACACACTGAGTTGTAACTGTGGAATATGTTAAGTTAGACATTTGTTAACTCAAGGACAGTCCATAGTCTCCCAAGGGAATGATTTTAAGAAATTTAATTTAGATAAATGTTTCTATTTAAATGTAAAACCACAGAATTTGGTTTACTATTATTTGATGATCCATTTCTTCACGTCATGTTTACCACATTATAGATGCCCATGGTAGTCTGAGAAAATTGTTTTGAGGAATTAAATACATGAATAAGACTTCAAAGAGGATCTACTCAGCATTTACTTTTTCTTCCTGAAGACTGACAGCATTCATCTATTTCCTCAAGGTCTGATCATCCTATCTGGGTTTAGCTCGATTTTAATCAATGTTAATTTGTTTTTCAGATAGAAAATCACCAAAAAAAATTTTTTTTAGTAAATGTAAAGAGATGGCATATCCAATTTAAACTCCCTTAATTTGTTCCTCAAGTAGATTACATTAAAACGTTAAATTACACAATGCATTTTATGATCACCTCACAGAGTAATAATGTTACAAATGGTAATCCCAGCTTAGACACTGAAATATGACAGATGTTTTGACCTTCTAGCTAAGCTGATAAGACTCTAGAGATTTAGGATGAGGCAAAAAGAACAAAAATAAATGGGGAGTTCTGGAAAGAGCTTTCTGGAAAAGACTTAATACAGCTATGGCCAGGGAACTGATAGGGTCTTGAAAACAAGACAGAAAATTAGTAAGGAAGGAGTCAAGTGGGAGTAGGTCAATTCCTTGATAAGGAGAGCAAGTGCACTTTCAGAAAGACCACCAGGGTGAGGGTCTTAGGTCAAGAGTATAGGGTGAGGATTGGCTGGATGTCAAAGAATGATATGGTGGGAGAAGGGTGTAGGCTTTACAGGGAAAGAAAGTAACTGTCACAAAATGACAAAGAGGTGAAAAAGAGGTAACTTAGGGTAGTAGGAAAGGGGAACTTTCAGTCAGTGACTCTAGAACAATCTTCAGATCAATACAATGAGAAATGCTGGAGAACATGAATTTTACAGTCTCTACAATGTGGAATTAAAAAAACATCTCACCTCTGTGGATAATCTTTTTACTTCTTGTTTGCGTTGGTGCTCTGCTACATTTGCCACAGATTCAGCCAATTGATAAAGGTCTTGCTCCACTGGTGCCCCCATGAAGTTCAACATTGGGGGCTCCCAACCATTGCGGAACCGTGGAACATATGGTGGAATAAATTGCTCTTTTGGCCACTCTGCTCTATATGAGAACATTAAGAGATATAAACAATTATAGGCTGCAAAAAACCCCAAAACAAACAAAGACCCCTCCCTCCAAAAATGACCTATGTTATATGGCAGTCCCTACATTACAAGAAGCTCTGGTAGGGTAGTGGTTACAAAATTGGGCTGCTCACCTGAGGGTCAGTAGTTTGAAACTACCAGCTGTTCTGCGGGAGAAAATATGAGGCTTTCTGCTCCCGTAAAGATTTACAGCCTTAGAAACCCTGTACAGAGTCGCTATGAGTCGGAACCGACTCCACGGCACATAACAACAACGTTACAAACAAGAGACAGTCCTAAGTACATCTTTCAGAATTTGTAGGTTAAGTCGGAACAAGTGTGTATGGTTCTAATTTAGCCTCACTTTAGCAAGAAAGAGGATCCCTTGCGATGCTGTAGGATCAATGGACTGTTAACTGCAAGGTCAGGAGCTGAAAACCACCAACCACTACGTGGGAAAAAGACGAGGCTTTCTGCTCCCATAAAGGTTTACAGCCTTGGAAACCTGTACAAGGTTGCTATGCATCAGAAGTGACTCAATGGTAGTGGGACTGTCTGGTCTGGTTTAGTGCAAGAAAAAGTTCAGAAGCCTTTCAATGATTTAAAAGCTATAGTTCAGTACATGAAGGTGAGTATGCTGAATCATTTGCTGTGAAGAGGGATTGGTTCAATCATTTCAAAGTGAGGGAAATTTTATATAACATTAAAGGACTAGTACAAGCTTTCCTTAAGTTCCATATTCATAACCTGGGGACTTACTGTATGCCAGTACTCATAGCACTTGTAGGATAAGCACTAGACTGCTAACTGCAAGGTCGGCAGTTCAAACCCACCAGTTGCTCCTTGTAAACTCTTTATACAGTGGCTCTGAGACAGAACCAATACAATGGCACGTAACAGTACTCACTCAAAAACTCACTACCATCAAGTCAATGCCATTAAGGCTGTAAAGCTTTATGGGAGTAAAAAGCTTCACGTTTCTCCTGGGTTTGAACTGCAGGCCATGAAGTTAGCAGTCCAGTGCTTACCCTGCAACACCACCAGCATTTCTATACTAGTGCTGTTGTTGTTTAGTGCTGTTGAGTCAGTTCCGACTCACAATGACACTGTATAGGTTTCCAAGCAGCGGCTGGTGAGTTTGAACCCCCGATTCTGCAGTTAGCAGTCCAGTGCATATCATACAAAGCCACACCAGAACTATTACTAATAAAATGAAACCAAAGAGAAGATTGAATTCTGCTGCATCAACAGCCACAAATGGTAAAGAAGTGAGAGAGAATGAATGAGTTAAGGTACCAGGAGAGGAAAGCAGTGATTCTAGTATAATCTTCACATCGACATTACCTCATTCTCCATTAAACTAAAATTTTAACATAGTTATAGTTTTTGTTTTGTTTTTCTAATTTGCTTGGGAAGCAAGCATGTATTTAGTATTGTGATAACTACTTAGAAGATAAATTTCACTAGGATCTAAAGTATCTTATATGCTCATCTTTCCCTTTACTCTTTTCCCTTCTCATATTAAAAATATCTCTCATAAAAATATAGCCCATATATTCTTTGGCCCTATAGTTTTTTAAAATACAAAGTTCTCTAAAATGAAATAGATGATCTAAAGTTTTATTGATTAAATTTATTAGCTAAGTTTTAATCAGTTAAGGCGAGCTGAGACTAATCCGTACACATAACCATTATTCATTCATTATTTAATTTTTCTAAGCATCGTGTATATCTTTACAATCTCCTAATTACTCATGAGGAGTTCTGGTGTGGCGCTGTGGGCTAGTGCCTCAGACTGCAAAGTCATTTGAACTGCAAAGTCAGTGGTTCAAGCTCAACAACTGCTCCTTGGAAACCTGATACAGGGTCACTATGGGTCAGAATTGACTCAACAACACTTAACAACAAATTACTCATGAAGGAGCGCTGGTAGCCTTTTGAGTTATGCATTATACTGTTAATTGTTAAGGTCAAAAGTTTCAAGCCATCAGCTGCTTCATTAGAGAAAGATGAGATTTTGCTCTCATAAAGATTCAGAGCCTCAGAAACTCTGTACAGGGTCGCTATGAGTCAGAACACACTTGATAGCACACAGTAACAGCAGAAGCAGTAACACTACTCATGACCCACACAATAGCAAACAGGACAGAAACGGTAGATTCATTTCTGCTATAGCATGCTGTTTGATCTTTAACATAGAATTTAATTCTTTGTTACATTTCTACTATGATGGAATGAACCATTTATTCATATTTGTAGGTATCGTCATGACTCTTTGCCTTTTCATGAGTTTTTAAATCTGTACATACATTTCCTAATACTATTAACAAGTAGGATCTGAAATGACCATAAGAGCTCATAATATATTTTGTTTCGATGTATTTTTTCAAATGATTAATTTTTTTCATTTCAGATAGGACTCAAAGCAAAGAAATGAGTATGAACTATTTCTGTATCATAATAGTTGATAAATTTAATAAGTTTCATGAAAAAAGTAAAAATAGTCTGCAAAGGTTTACATTTAAAAATTACTTACAAAATTTACTAGACTTAAGAAATCAATTTAATCAACTTTTATATAGCAAGATAACTAAATAGATATACTGAAAGGATATTTCAATGTAAAAGCAGCAATTATGGTGCTTTTAAAGAATTTTCTGCTTGATAAATCTTTCAAAATGTAAATCGTATTTCAATACAGTAGCTGCCAAAGTCAGTCCAAAGAATAAATGGGATAGCAGTGATATATTTAAATAAGAGAACTGAAGGAGAAAGAACTTTATCAATGGACCCATTACTTTCAGGTAATCCTATTCAAATCCATAAGGATGACAAAATTCTAATTGGACAACAGTGAACAATTCACTCTAGGATATGTTGGAAGGGAGAGGAGACATGAAGAAGGTATAATTTTGCAACAATTTATGGAAGAGGACCAAAAGTCCAAATGAGGCACCAGTTAAAGTAGTGAGAAAAAGAAAACTATGTTAGTAAATGAGGAACAGAAACAAGATTTATAATGAAATAGGAATTCTTTTTTTTTTGAAATAGAAATTCTTTTTTATAACTTTTTTTGCTTAGTATTTGCTAAAGATTTGTTTTCCATAATCAAAACTATACAGTTCTTAAAATTATCTCCTCCTCTTATCCATTTCTACTGCCACCTATTCTCATCAAAGAGCATGGTGATAAATAAAGACACATTTAGCATAACATTCCACCATTCAACTGTCAGTTTGTCATAATGTGGTGGCTCGAATGTTGCTGTGATGCTGAAAGCTATGCCATCAGTATTTCAAATACCAGCAGGGTACATCCAAGATGGGCATGTTTAAGGTAAGATTCCAGACTAAGACTAACTAGGAAAAAGGAGAAGCAGACTATTTCTGATTGGTTAGCCACTGGAACCCCTAGGAATAGCAGTAGAACACTGTCAGCACCAGAATACTGAAACATGAT